ATGTGATACTACACCATGTCGGCGATTTAAAAAAACATGTGCAGTAGTTCTATAATATAATTTTGAAGTATTCTGAGCAAAAGAAAAAATTTTGGTGCCCTCAATTAATAATTCATAACATTCAAATTTGCTATCGAACCATAGTGCAGCGTGATATTGTTAGAATAAAGAAATTAGATGGACACTACCCATCCAGAAAGAAAACTTACAATAGATTTTAATTATTAAATAATCATACAAGTTTTATTAGATTTGTTATTAAAATAAATTGAAATAATTAAAACAAATGTTTGATAATTCATTAACTTTAATTGAAATTTATTTCCTTAATAGGAAAACAAAATATTGTAATATAATGAATAAATAAAAAGTTACACCAAAACAAAAATCACTTTATTGATTTTAAGTCTCAATTAATTAAAAAAATACTTTAAGTACAAATAATTTTTAATATAATAAAATGGAGTGTTTTTAAAATTGAAAAATCTTGAATAGTATGATTCCTAGTATATTCTTGTAAGTTAAGAATATTAAATCAAATTGACTAATTATGCTATAAGTTCTACATACAGGCATTAATTTAAAACCTGTATAATAATTAATATTATTCCCACGATTAGCTGATTATATTGTGTTTTCGAATTGTGTTTTGGTGATCTTATATATTCATGATATTTATGAAATTGATTTACAAGTATATATAAAAAATAATCAAATAAATTTCAGTTGTATAATAATTAAAAAATTCATATTATTATCCTTAAGATATAACTAGCAAAATTTTTAGTAAATTACTTTTCATTATCATAGACTTCTTCTTTAGCGTCATCATTTTTGTCAGTCTTTTACATCATTTTTTTCTTCCTCTTTATTATCATCTTCTTCATTTTGATCAATATCTTCGAAAAAAAAAGTTTCGATATTATCGTCTTCTACTTCATTGCTAGTTTTATCATTGTTTTCATCTTCATTCGATAAGTAACCTTTTTCAGAAAGCATGTCTATATTCAGTTCTCTAGAGAGATCACCTTCGAAACTTGTGTAGAAACTTTCGGCTTCACTAATTATACTGTTATTTCTGGATAAAGTTCCACTAACACTTGTGTAGAAACTTTCGGCTTCGCTAATTGTACTGTCATTTCTGGTTAAACTTTTACTAACAGTTGTGCAGAAACTTTCAGCTTCGCTAGTTATACTGTCATTTTCGGTTAAACTTTCACTAATAGTTGTGCAGTTACTTTCGGCTTCGCTAATTGTACTGTCATATTTGGATAAACTTTCACTAGCAGTTGTGNGGGCCACCCTAATGTATACCTATAGAAACACATCTGGTATAAATGAGTAGAGATGAAATATCAAAGAACGGTTACTATTTAGTTCCTGCACAAATGTCTACACAAATTTATACGAGTCTCGAATATTATATTTCTTTATAAAATTATTAGATGCTATCTCAATTTAAGTTCTTTGCACAATAGATTATACTAGTGTCCTACACTCCCATTGCCCGTGATATACCCTTTCGGAAAAATAGCCAATATTAGACTGGTTAGTCTAAACGCGGTAAGACACTGACTAGATAAATATTTGGTGAATTAGTATAATATTTCGACTCTAATATAATTTGTATTTCGTAGTTGGCTATGCTAACATGAAACATCAAATAATATTGTTATTTTTATGCAAAGACCTTTATGTTATGTGACCTACTTCTTTTCAATCATCTCAAGGACAACCTAGGTTAGATACTACAGTACTATAGAATTTAGGTACAATAAGTTATGTTAGTGTCCTATACTCCGATTACTCATGCCATTCTCTTTGGAAAAACGACTGAGATCAAACTGGATGAAGAGACAAAAGTGAAGAGACGCTTTGAAGAATATTTATGGTTTATTTATACTTTGATTACGATATTATTGTGCTAGTACTCTGTTCAGCCAAGTTGTGACGCTTCAGTAAGTAATAAAACACATTGCAATCTAATCATGTTTTTTTAAGTGTATATATATATATATAATATAATAAATCAAATACCAATATTTTACGTGTGTTAGAATATTTGTATCACCAAAAAATGATCGACCGAAAATAAGATGTATAATAATTCTTTTAATTCCCAGCGAATAAAAAATGGAATATAAAACTGTGTAGTTTTGATACAAATTTTACCAAGAGAGAACTATATACTCACGCAGATTCCACATTACAGATACATGTGTGTATATTAATCAATAATTCCCTTTTTTGGGAAAAAATGTCCTTTTTATAGCCCGCAAAACTAGTTGTTTAGCAATCTCTGGTGAGATTCTTGATATTTTTATTATGTTGTATTTGATTGGCCTTTGTGATAGATTCTTTTACGTTGATATTTTGAAATGCGCAAGAAAGTGGTTAAATTTTGTGTAAATGTATTGATTGTATATTTTTATTAAGTATATATATTATTTACTACATGTATTAAAATGTGATACTACACCATGTCGGCGATTTAAAAAAACATGTGCAGTAGTTCTATAATATAATTTTGAAGTATTCTGAGCAAAAGAAAAAATTTTGGTGCCCTCAATTAATAATTCATAACATTCAAATTTGCTATCGAACCATAGTGCAGCGTGATATTGTTAGAATAAAGAAATTAGATGGACACTACCCATCCAGAAAGAAAACTTACAATAGATTTTAATTATTAAATAATCATACAAGTTTTATTAGATTTGTTATTAAAATAAATTGAAATAATTAAAACAAATGTTTGATAATTCNAGTTACTTTGGGCTTCGCTAATTGTACTTTCATATTTGGACATACTTTCACTAAGAGTTGTGTAGTTACTTTCGGTTTCGCTAATTGTACTGTCATTTCTGGATAATCTTTCACTAGCACTTCTGTAGTTACTTTCGGCTTCGCTAATTGTACTGTCATTTCTGGATAATCTTTCACTAGCACTTCTGTAGTTACTTTCGGCTTCGCTAATTGTACTGTCATTTCTGGATAATCTTTCACTAGCACTTCTGTAGTTACTTTCGGCTTCGCTAATTGTACTGTCATTTCTGGATAATCTTTCACTAGCACTTCTGTAGTTACTTTCGGCTTCGCTAATTGTACTGTCATTTCTGGATAAACTCTCATCGACTGTTGTGGAGAAACTTTCAGTTGAGGTGGTTCTTGATAGGTCATAATCACCATCAGATATAATGGAAGAAGAAGAAGAAGAACAATTTCTTCCTAGTCCAATAGTTTTTTTTAATATGGTCATAACCTTTTAAAAATTATAAATAAATAAATAAATATATATATATATATACATATATATATATATACAGGACGATTATTTAATTTTTAAAAAAATAACTGATGGATAACAAATTTTGGATCACTATTTTGAAGTCATATACATTTTTGCACCTAGGCAAGGGAAAGTGAGGTCAGTAAATATCTAGCTATTGGAATAGCAGTGTCTGCTGTACGCTTGTCCTCTAGTCATTTATAACTTCTGAAATACGGGTCCAAAAGTATTTATAAACAAGTCATATGTTTAATTAGATTATTATATAATAAATGAGCACTAAACATAGTAAACATGAGAGGAACATAAAAAATACTTCATGATTGGTAAATTAAGAAAAATATGTTATTAATATAAACCAATAAAAAAAGTTCTTAATATTATTTTTGTCTTTCAAAAAATTAAGCAATTCATGATAACACCATTCAGTATAATTTATTAAGTATACTGTCCCCAATTTTTTCGTTAAACAATGATTTTTCATAAAAAAATTTTATTTATTATATGTACCATAGTTAATACCACGTTTATTTCGAGGTAAAATCATTTCTACGGGTAGTTTTTAAGAGTAATTATCTAAGTTAAATGGGTACTTATCGTTATTTTTGTACTATTAAATGGTTAATTGAATAAATAAAATTATAAATAAGTCGATTTTTTCAGCATTACTAACTGACCAAACTATCTACAACAATTTTCTCTCATTTTAACTACGATTGACACTACTCCTACACTTATACTTATATATTCATTACTTGTCCTATCTTCTCTGATCCTAGCTTATGAAAACTAAAATATAATCTAATTGAGATTATAACTGGTTGATATCAATTATATATATATATATATACTGAGTATTCAGTAAGTAAGGAAACATGTGATAGGATCACAAATACGTGATCATACCCTACAACATTATTGTACCGCTGACTAGTCCTATAACGCTGACACAAAACACACGTATTACTACAGAAAGGCAGACTGCACACTTTTAGAGTTCACGGTCATTGTGCCATAATACTAATATCACAAAAAGTAGTTAACTTTTTTCCATGTTGCGACCAATACTCTTTTGTCTTATATTAACTTAAATTAGCTACCACCTAAAGAGTGTGTGTGTCGTCGTCAGCTCCTTGGTGGATTATATCATCTCTAGTGTAACACCCCTACCGACCTCGACAAAACGATTGTTATATCTCAATCTGCTAGCACTTTATGTAATTTGCAAAAAGATACTGTGGAATTTAAAACAAATATCACACCCTTACACATTCCAAAAAATATACTAACTGGGATTCTATTAACTAAACTAAGAGTGTTATATATTATTGTAGTGCGACCCTTGGTAGTTCTTTTAAGGGAATATAAATTGAATAGGAAACCTCAGTACCTAAGGTAGATATAGCCAGGCCAGCTTTCCCCTGTTGGTCCGTTAGGACACTATTGATGAGCATTTAGGCTAAACCCCTAAATAGCAACGTAACAACCCGACAAAACGTAATACTGGTCTATTGTTACAAACAATGAATACAATATAAACCCGTTGATTTATTTACTGAACACTTTATATATATTAAAGACTATTCGGTTATTATTTTAATTATTAGGAATTTTTTCGGAGATTTCCTTTCTTTCAAAGGTATAATACAGTAATCAAAAATTTATAATTTTTTTATTTAACTGAATTTTATATTTTTGTAGAAGTACTCACGTTATTTGGAATTTTTTTTATTCTATGGGATTCGATAAATAGCATTACGCACGCACTTATTGTTTGTTTGCACAATTGTTCCGAGCCAAATTTAACCATCTGATTTCTACTGAGCATAGTACAAATATAAAAAACTATTTCCTCAATTATATCCTGTGCATTTTTTTTATTATATTCAAGAAGGTACATGTATTCTCTGAGCATTTCTTTCATTTCGTATTCAAATGATCTTCCTATAATTATATAAAAAAAGTTTTTCATAAGAATTTTAGCACAAATTATATTTATTATTTATTAGCATATGAAGCACAAAAAAGAAAACAATTTTATATCACCTATTATAAAAATATAAAACTTTAAATTGGTGACAGGACGTAATATAAGAGCATAAATTTCATAATTTATTTGTCTGTTTTATAAATCATAATAACTGTTTTAATAATACATACTTCTTAATACTGTACTCACTTTATGCAAAAAGTATTTAATTTTGTATTAAATGAAATTGTAAAAGTTGTGATATGGATACAGTTCACTGTATACAAAAATTAAACAGAAAAAGTTTACTAATAAGTTTAATAAGTAAAGGATTAAAACAATTTAGGTAAAAATTTTAATAATAAAATATTTATTTTTCGGAGTAATTTAATCATTCAATTTGGAAAATGAAGTGGTGCAAATGTACTCAATAAAATTTCATATTTTTAAATTAATTGGATGGCAAAGTTTAGACTATGGCCGCCTTTGGATATTTTGCATCGTCTGTTTGTAGGCTATTTGGGTATACGTCAATACCGTTTGGTAAACAAGATTAATTGTGCAAGTTTTAAATTATACTAATTATTCAATTTTATAAAGCCATTATTTATAAAAATTGTTGTTTGTTAGTTTGAAGTTGAATTTTGTTACTTATGGCATATTTTTAACAGTAAAAAAAAAGAACCATTAGTGGTAAGCTTTTATTTATTCTTTTCAATTACTTTCAATCTAATTTATTATTCATAGCCTAAATAATTTTTATATCTCAACTATTCAATTAAATACTAGTTATCAATTAATCATCAATAGCATTATAATGTAATGAAGCGGAAAATATATCAAAGCGACAAAACATCGCATATTTTGTTTCATATTATTTCTGATATCACTAATATGAACTTAATGCTTTATACAACTAAAATATTTACGGGATAACAATTTTTATCGTTATTAAAAATACTCGAAAATTAGTAAATTATGTAAATTAATTAGTATCAAAGTCCCGATGCGTTTTTATACATAAAATGACAAAAAGTCAATTTCGAGGAAATAGTTACAAAAAGCCTGCCAAAATCAATATGATATAAACATTTTCTAGGCCCTTGTTTCGAATCGAAAATATATTTCCATTGATAACTTTCATTATCTTTATCTTATGTAGATGAATATTTTAAAGTCATCTAAATAGTATCTCACATATAATATTGACTTATTTAAAGATATTTATCCTGATTAATGTGTTTTATTAAAAAATGTTAATCCCAACCGTAAAATTGAACATCAAAAATCTAAATCAGTCGAAAGAGTAATTTTAGTAAAATAAACTATTTAAATCTACCTATGCTCAGAAATTTGGATTTATAATTAACATTATTTCTAATCAAGCAATCTTGAAATTTTCCTCTTCCATATCTAAATTTTTCTAACTTTTCGTTTCTTTCTTTGGTTTTTTTTTTAGTTATTCTTATAATTTCTGGATTAGTTGATATTTGTGAAATAAAAATCTATACAACAAAAAATTATAATATGTCTCATAAAAATTCTATAAATTAAAGAAAATTTAATTAATTATCTTTTTATTATCGTTGAAATTTGATAGTAAAATTTGATTTTATCAAAATATTTTTATTGATACACCTTAACGTTAGTCTTTTGATTTCTCTTAAAATAATAATTATGTTCAAAATATTATTTTTGGTATTTTTTAGTTTTATATTTCTTGATTTGTAAGTAGTCGTTAATTATTTTTTTAATTCATCCATTATAACTTATAAGTAACGGTAATATAAATATTTAACTAGTTTATAAAATAAATTATGATTTAATCAGAAAGATGACTGATAAATTATAATTTCTAGGTCCTTACTGTAAAATTTACTAAACATTTTGTAACTTGAGGGAGGAAAGGAGTCCGAGAAATTCAAATCAGAATTTTTTGGTAAGTATTAACAATGGACGAATTATTGAACCAATACTGGCCATTGCCCATTGACTAGTTCGTACTAGTGTAGTACTGGCTGATATTTTACCTAAGTACTGATCCGTTTTAGTGGGCAGTACTTGATTACCATTTCCGGTAGAGTACTGGCGTACTATTGGTTATACAAAACCTGGAGTACTTAGATTTTAATTTAATTTACATTATTACCAAAAGAAATTATATTACTTAAAAATATAAAAATAATATTCTTAACATAATTTTTATTATATAAGAAATCTAAGAATGTCTAATTTTGTTATCATTAAATCAGTGAGTTAAGATTATTCAAATGGATTAAATAATGTAAAATGCATAATATATTTGTTTTGTAAAAGTATAATGGATGGTTCACAATATATTGACGTGTCTAATAACTTTTGATCTACTAAATATTTTGCGTTACTTTTATTTTGAATAATTTATGCATCATTAGAAATATTATAATATAATATAAATTATATGTTTATTAATCATTTTTAATAATAATAATAATAATAAATAATCTCTAATTTTAAACTGACCATATTTTAGATCCTTTCTTATAAAATTTTAATGATATTTATTAATTAACAATTATAAAACAAATATCCAATTAATTACAAGCATTTTAATGTATACCGTGGGTGAAGTATAATACATATACATATAGCAATATAAATATACATTAGTACGAACTGTATCCAACCGTGTTACACACCCACTCTATGTATTAAAATGCATGTGACTAAATAAGTATTTGTCCTAAAGTTATTATTGAACCATTAACATTTGTGTTAAGAAAGTGCTAAAAACTGGCTATTTTGAAATTTTGAAAAATATGTATACTAACAAAAAATAAAAATATTATAACTCAACGTTGTTTAGAATGTATAAAAGTTACAGAAGTTGTCAAAACCATTGTGTATTATCATAAAAAATACTCACAAAATTTAATATAGTTATGAGAACAAAACACTTCATTTTTAATTTTTCAATGGGTCTGAAAATTTTATTTGTAAAATATCTTTTTAGCACATTTGAAAAAATTAAAAATTAAATTAAAATAATTATTAAATTATTAATTATTGTCAAATTTTTATAACATATTATTAACGTCGTATGGTCCTTTCATTTTGGGAATTGAAAGGAATTTTTTTGAATTAAAGCGTTAATGGCTTCAACTAGATGTAATTTGTGATCTTATTACATATCTTGAGCAAAATCGGTTAAATAGGATTGAATTATTCATAAGGACTATCAGCAAACAAAAAAAACACGACATACTAAAACCAATACATTCTCATCTACATATCGAAGCTAAATTATTTAAGGTGCTGGAATTGGAAAGGTATTAAGTTACAAAAATTTAATTTTACATGTGAAGGAAAGGACAGTTTATCAAACCACTTGGACGAATTATGAGCATCTTTTGTTTTTAACATAATTTTTATTCTAAAAGGATTTTTACCAGATTATTAGAATATATGTTAACTACATTGTAAATGTAAAGAATGAACATTCATTTTTAGGACTTAATTGTTTAATAATTTAATAGTTTATTAAAAAGAATGATGTAGATATTTAAGGTTACATAGTTGTTTTATAATTTAACTTAAAATTTAAGTTTATGATTCAATGTAATCAGATGGATTTATAAAATTAATAAAACAAAAATATTTAACTTACAGTAAAAGAAGTACATCAACGAATATATATTTATTATACAAATATAATTATGTAATTTAACTTTAATAAAAAGATTCAATTAATATTTAGGTTTATATATCCATTTAAAATATAAAATTAGATCTAATATTTATATTAATGACAAAAGATTTGCAATTTGTTTAAAAAGCATGGCAAAAACAGTTAATATTTTTGGAAACAGAATTTTTTGTAGCTAGTTAATATCAACTATAGCTAATAATATAATTTATTAGAAAACTAAAAATGGAATGATATTGCCCCTTCTCAAAATATTGAACATGCTATTCTTTATCAAATTCATTTAAATTATGTTTTATGTACATTTATCATTAATTTGAAAATATGATGCTTATAATTTTTAGAATAAAAAAATGTATAATTATTTTGTTTAAAGAATACACAAAATTATTTTAAAATTTTGTTATTGTAAGTTAATTGCGTTGCATTATTAGAAATTACAGTTTATTTTATTATCTTAATTCCTTTTTCGTAAAATAAATATAAATTCAAAGGAACTATTAAATATTTAATCTTTATAATACCAAAATCTTTAAACTTTTGTCAAACATCAAAATAGTATAATTTAAAGAAATTGTATCTTTTCCCAAGAAAACTATGGTTGCATGAACAAATTTTATTTTGGATATAAATAAATAGCAAAATTTATTTCATAGAATATAATGACGTTAGGATCATATTGTTTAACCTTGAAAGTGTAACAATATAATTTATTAATTTTTATTTTACACATGTATTGTAATTTTAGTTTCTATAATAGAAGAGGGTGGGTAAAGTTGGCACCTTTAAGCTTTAATTTCTTAGAGAAATTTATTAGTAGGGCTAGAAGTTATATGAACTTATAATGTTTGAGTCACTTTGAAGGGCTCCAAGTTGGCTCAACTTTGTTTTAGGATTATATAGTAGTGTATAAATATCGTTCGTTATAAATGGGTTAAATCCCTCTAACCCGCCGAAAAACTATAACCTAAGTAACAATACTTGATTAAGTTTTCATGTAAATTAATAAAACTTTGTGCTAGTTGATAGTGTATTCAGAAAACTTAAATCTTATAGATACATATAATTCCTAGCCCTAGTAATAGAAACTTCAAATTTGATAAAAAATACTACTTAACGTATTAAAACTATTGGTGGCAAGAAGTTCCTAATTAATATTAATTATTTTAAGGGTTATTAAAAAATTAATTAAAATTTTTTAAAAATTATTTATAAAAATATTCAAACTCGTCATTTTCCTCGCGGTCAAAATGTATTAACTAATATTTTTCTGCACCTTAAACAAATTTGTATGTATTATGTAATTTTTTAATTAGTCTATCAAGTAATTAAAAAAAAAATGTGGAGTGTAAAAATATTTAATAAGCATAATCGATATAAAGATTCTAAAAAGTATACTCGTGAATAATTAAAAGATTTTTTCAATAATTGAGCTAGATGAACTAATTACAAGAAATTATTTTACACTTCGAAATTTTCTATAAAAAACACGAAAAAAAACTTTTTCCGTTTTATTCTTATGAAAAAATCATTCATAATACTTCTCTAATTTGGATTACACTTAAAATTTAAAATGATTTTTTTTCATGGCGTTTTTTTAGCTATTGTAATATAAAAATTTATTATTTACTTATTTACGCTTAGGTTAAAACCTTACGTCGTTATACAACAATATTAGTATTGAAAAAACGTATAAGTGTGGTTTAAAACAAATATATCTGTTAATTTGAATTATTTTTGAAAAGTTTGTCATTGTTTGGTTAATATGCCTAAAAATATTAATTATTACTAGAGAAGGATTTTTAAAATAATTTTATTTGGGAATAATCTTATTCTAAAGTATTACAATTAGTTCACCATAGTATAAGCCATTGAACATGTAAATGTATAATTTTTATAAATTCAAGATATAAAATATCTAACTATAAATCAAAACATTATTCATTTGAGGACTATTGAGACAGTGAGTAAAGGTAAAATTAGGATGTTGTCTTAAATTTAGTGTTTAACTATAAACAAAATTTAATGTTTAACTTAGCATAAATTTCAAGCTATATATTTACACAATCAAAGCTATACATAAAAAACTACACAAATATGGCTGATTTTACTAAAAATAAAGTTTTTTGTCTTTTGATAAATAACTGAATTATTGGCTTACAGCACTTGGACAAACATTGTAAAATTTTTAAATTTGAAATTTGTATATTAGAAAAACGTTGTAATATAGCTACATTGATATTATTACACAGTAGAGATTCAATAATTCCCAAAAAATTTAAATCTAGAAAAAAACAATTTTTTCAGAAAAATAGGAAAAATTGAAAATAATTTGTATATATAAAATATAGTTAACAGTTAATTAGCATCATAATATCATTTCAATTATTAATAACTATAAAATATTAATTAACAATTAAAATATATTTATAAATTGTCTAATATATTATGTCAGACAATCATTTAAAAAAAGGTATATTTGGTAATTTTATTGTTTATATGTAACACTTAAAAAAAAAAAAACAATTTAAATTAGGAAACTTTTTTACTATAAAATGAAACAAATCAAATACTATTATATAACTAAATAAAATCTATAAATTATTATTTCATAACTGTTAAAAGTATAAAAAAAAAACTTATATATACATATAATTTATAGATATATATAAATTATTATCACTTTTAGAAGTACAAACCAGTACTTACTGTAAAAAAATAGGAACATACTTTTACATTATTAAATAATGTAATATGTAAATTATGTTTCTATTTAATTATTTCCAGTTTCAATTTCAATATTAGCTTATATTTTCTTAAAACTACTAGTATTAACAAAATAATATAAATTATTAAAACAAAATTTATTTATTGAACTAATATTGCAATTGCAATTGGGAATCATCTCCATAGTCTGTGTAATCAGTAGATACTGAATTAATAATAATATAATTTTGGTTAATATTATTATTAGTAACTTGATTATCTTCAACTTTTCTTTTTTTTACTCGAACAGTTTTCTTAAAGTATGTTGAGGTTAGTCCTAATCTGTTCTGTACCCTATCCAATTTAAGTTTATTTCTAGATTTAGTGTGTACTTTGCCAAAAGCAGACCAATTTCTCTCGCATGATACTGATGAACAAGGTAAACTTAGTAACTTGGTGGCAACTGTACATAGTGGTTCATTGGTTGCCAATCCTTCCACCAAATATCAGGAAAATAGTGTTCAGCTGATTCTACTAAACTTTCTACGCCTAAAAATCCTGTATTTGTTTGGTACTCTACTAAATTTTCTAAAATTTTAGTCTGTTCGATTTTTAACCAGTTGCTAATTCATGAAATTGTCTTAATATCATAAGATATTTCAGAAGAATTTAAATTAATATTTTTATACCTAGGATCTAATATTAAGCAGCACTATGTATTAGGTATAAGCAAAATTTTTTCTATATATTATTAAAGATGGCGCCTTTTTTTTTTCAGATATAGTGAATCAATAATGGAAATTACCCTTCCTTAACATCTTTCTCAATTGTTGAAAATATTTCATGGCCTTCAGAAAGTTTAGAATTGTCTGATTCACATTTTGTAATACTGATTGAGATAGGAGAGCATATTGGCTGTAATCTGTTATCAATGGCCAAAATACATCTTCATCAAGTATATTTTTTTAAAAAATTTATTATAAATTACATTAAATTTATCTTCTTGTGCCAAGCAAATAGAACTAGTAGAATTATCAACACATTCTTCAATGAAGTAGTTGTCTGATGCACAAAGCAAAGATGCTTTTTTTATTATTACTAGATTTTGGTAGGATTTTTAAGATGTCTTTCTGTAAACCTTTAGAACAACGTATACATAATAAACCAATGGGCTCTTTCATTCTTGTCGCATTAGAAAATGCATATATAAACTAACAAAATTTACATTTAAATTTCTTGGTATTTTCTATTTTTATAAAACAATCCCAAATAGGATCATTATAGGTATTATGGTATAGATTATCAAACTCTTGTTTCATATTACCATTGAGTATAGATAGTATGTATATTCAATCTATTTAATAAATAGTTTTAAATAATTGAGTAAAGTATACTCAATGATAATATTAGTAATCGTGTAAAATAAAAGGTTATAGTACACTAACCAACCTAAAAGAACAGTATTTATTTATGTTATCAATATTTGAAACATTTATGTCAATTTATTTCAATTTTTTTCATAATTTTCCAATTTTGCTTAGATGCCAGGAAAAAAACTGTTTTTTCCTAAATTCCCTGAAATTTTCGGTAATTTTGATCTCTATTACATAGAGGGATCAATTTAAAAAAGAAACTTAATTTTTTCACGACTAATTAATGTTAAACTAAATTAAATGAATGTATACATGTTAAGTGTACTTAAAATTTGTATTTTGAATATTACAGAGAAAAATGTATTCAAAATTCATATTCGAATATATTTTTTAAAAAGTATTTAAATACAAATATAAATACTTTAAAGTATTCACAGTCTCATTTCAAGCATAGGACAGTTATTATTTTTTAAGGAACGCTTAGCTTCCTTTTTATAACAAAATTATTTACAATTTATTTATTTCAAAAAAATATCTAAACCAGTATTGTTTCCGTGATGGTATTTTTTTATTCTAAAAATAATAATATTTTGTCAATAAATAAAAGATGACTATTTGTAATAAAAAAACCAAAGGATAAAATTAACTATCAATGGTTTTTTTTAACGCTATAATTTGTTTATCAGCATAACATTATCAACAATGGATTTTATAAAACATTATTTGTAAATATAACCTGCGTTCAAAGTTGGGCTGTAACTTAATTTGAAATACAAATCACAATAATGAAACTACTTACAAAGTAATTTTAGTGTAATTTAATTATTGATTTAATTTTTATGAGCATGGTGTGACGTGGTACATACTAAATGCTGACAAAATTCTAGTGTTAAGACAAGCCTACCGCCGTAGTGTACAGATAGGTGAGCATAAATGTGTTTTACGGTAGCAAAAAGCAC